GGGGGGGGGGGGAGTTGACGGGGAGAAAAAAGAACACAAGAGGGCCAATAAAGTCCATCTAAATATAGAAGCAGCAGGGCTTTTTTCCCTTGTCCTTATAAAGAGCTGCTGGTGAATCTGTGTGGACTATTCTCCTGACTGTACCGAGCGGATCACTCCCTGCAGGATGGGGAACATAACTGTCGGTGCATGGAAACACACAGGGCTACGTTGTTTTGTGTGAGAGAGAGACAGAGAGAGAGAGAGGAGGCTAAGTCGGTTTTTTTCTTTACACCAGAGGACAAATCCATTTTGGAAGAACATACTAAAATAGGAGATGTTGATGAACTCCACAATTAAATGTGGAGAGAAATGAATGATAGATGGAGTCCCTTTATGGCCTGATAGTTCAAGACAGTGGAGGATGAACTTATGCCCAAAATTACCTGGAATTTCGATTTCCATGTTTATCAAAACAATCACTTGCTTAAATCCAACGATGTCCCTTTTTGGCTCTTTCACTTCTCTAATTCTATTTTCATTATATTCTTACAAAAAGAGTGATCTATCGTATTGGCTTTGCTTTGAGTCAGAGGATTATTTTTACATCTTTGCAAATATGCTTTTATGCCTTCTTGCCATGAGATACAAGAGTCTATCAAGTCTGCATACGATACCAGCAAATAGTTTAGCATACACAGTCAAGAACAGCTAGCCTGGGTTTGTTCAAAGACAGCATATAGAATTACAAGTATACGTAAACCTCCCTTTTGGTACATTTCAATATTTATGGCCTTGTTGGACATAACAGCAAAGAGTTAAAGGAAAAGAGTAGAGCAATTAACATTAAGCATCTTGTTTGTTAACATACTGTACATTGTGGTTTTTCGAGACATTTTGATAGCGGTAAATATTTCTAGTGGGCACCACATCTCCCGCTCAGTAAAGTAGCAACCTCAGTAGTTCCTTTGATACAAAGCTAGCAGCATAGTTACTAAGCCTCTATCGCAGGATATTCCAATATTTCTATTGTAGAATACAAATTTGCTCTAACACATAGGTTTGAGCTAGCTCTCTGATTGGTCAATAGGCGTGTTTAATTCCACGATCAAACAACGATCAAATAGAACGTGCCTAATCACAAAGTATCCAGTGGCCTACACACGCCACTAGCCTACCGAAACTACTTCCATGAGTCTACATCGTGTGGTTTCCATAGCGACGTTTAGCGACACACAGCCGTTACACTGTTATACATTGTCTCTCGTTGGAAATCGGTATCACCTGCATACAGCGGCTGGCGGAGGCAGGGTTGGAGGCCAGAGAAATCATGTCCGTTAGCGGACATAAAAACGAGTCATCGCTTCGCAGCTACTGGGCTCCATCTCTAGACAACAGAAAGATGTGGAGCAACGCGTTTTTTGCCGGTCTGGGACACGCCATGAAACGGCCACTGGAGGAAAGCTCTTCCTATAACGTAGTCCTACCCGTGAACACCACAGCAGCACCACCTGCAAAAAAGTCTGGCATGGAGTTCATGGAGAGCTGTTTCAAGAATTGCACTTTTAATGGAAGCATGAACATCCACCTTCATTCTGAACCCAAAATGTTTCAGCACCATGGACAGCCTGATTTGATTTGTTCCGCTAATCCCACACAGTGATTACTCAGATATTTAAATGGCCCAATTCAAGAATTGTTTTCAATAAATTGTTTTCAATAAATTGGTTAATAATATATTATTTACTATAATTATATCAATAACTGTAAGCGGGGTAGCAGGAGTGTTTGATCGGCTATCGTTACCATGGGAACTACTTTCTAGGAACTACTTTCTGGCGGAGATTAACTCAAGCAGAAAGCGTAGGTTTGGGAGCAAATGAGCCCACATTATGAAATTATTTTACGATATTGTTGATTACAATGATAGTTTGTGTAATAGAATCGCAATCATACACTTGAGGCGTTCTTGAACGTCATTATTGGTACGACAGTACTGCAAGCGCCGAGGCGCTTGCGCGGAGGTCCGTACGCCTGGACTGGAGTTCAAGAACGGTCTCTCGTGTATGATTGCTTAATTGAAAGCCAACAGTGCCAATACACACCACTACTTAAAGAGAAACTTCCAGGTTAAAGACACCTGTGAATAAATGTGTAGGAAAATGATGAATACACTAGATTTTTCAAAGAAATATATAGAAATATACACTACAGTGACATCTGGCGTCGTTTTTGTAAGAAATGTTCCGTTGATATGCCGTTGTAAATGGCTTGATGGAAAGCAGGTGTGTAGTCGGGGAGGGTGCACAGCTGATTGCAGNGGAAGGGTATCTGGGGGTGTATTCTGGGACTTAATGCTTAATGAGGCAGTCTGCTCCCTAGGAAACTCACCTCTCCAGGTGCCAAACAAAACACCTTTTTTCTTTCTACCGCTGCTGCCAAAGAATATTCACAATCAACAATGAAGAGAGGAATATCAAGTCGCCTTACCAGTACTGTAAGGTGTTGTTTAATCCCCCCCTCCCAGTCCAGCCCTGTCTGTTTTCACACTTTCTTTTTCGGTGAGTCATGCGCCGAAGATCATTTCTCTTATCGTGTAGAAATATTTAGCGGCTCTGTGTGATTTATCGCTCAGGCTTTTCACATCGCCTCATTAGATTGCCTCAGTGATGATGATTACTCTGGCCTGTATTTGTAATGCATACGGACATCAATTGTTTTCCTCTCGTGTCTCAGTGAGTGACGCTTTATGAAACAGACAGGCGGTCAGCAAAAATACTGCTGACCTATGATCTTCTGGCTGTCAGCCACATTCCCCTGCCACTGCCCCACAATGCACTTGGCATCTGGCATCTCCGTGGCCCCGGGAGCTTGTTACTGTCCCCAACAAGCCTCGTCCCTCTTTTCTCTTCACATAGAGCTAAAATGTTCATCCCTTTATGCACGCCAGAGATCTAATACAGGACGGCTTTGTTTACCCTCGAGTCCCTTCAGGCGTACATTATTTACATCAGTTTCTATTTACCTAAACAAGGTCACGTGATTTTAAGCCTGGATTAAGGCGAACTGCCTATGGCGACACACTGCCAAGGCCACGGGAAAAAGGCAGGCTCATTATACATCATGCGAGTGAAAGCACAAATGCCCCACAGCATTAATATATGGTCATCTCTGAGTGAATGCATCATTGTACGAGGCTCAATAGCACTGTGAGGGTAGATTGCTCTCGTGGGTGGGTGGGGGTTACCTTCCTGTGTGTATGCTCACTTGTTATGTGCCACTGTTTTCTTGTTTTATGTCCGTCTCAAATGTTCCCTTCATGAGCCAGATGTCTCACTGAGCTGGTGTAACTTGTTTTTCTACCATGTTGTTGTTTGAAATATCTTCCTCAATGGTGGAAAAATGACATTTACTGTATGCCGGTTTCTTAGCTGAAGCTGCCATTAAGGATGTCTCATAACCACCTATTTTTTGTTTCTAATACCAATCCTGAGTCATAAAATGTGCGTATTGGCCAATATCTAGTGGCCATTGCATTCAAAACCAAACATTTAACACAAATCCTAAGGAAAATTCTGCATGTTAGGTTGTTTTACAGGCACTATCTAAAACAATCTTATTGTTATCTTATGAATCTCTTTAGAAGCAATTGTTCTTTTACAAATTGTGCTGCAATCATACTTTTGATGTGGGCTACTGAACATTACACAACATTTGGATTGGTAGGTGTGATATATATGCAGCACCACAATCAGTGTCCTGCTATTTGAATATCTATTGATTTAATTTCAATTAACGGTCAGATAACTGATAACACATGTCAGTACCCCAAATGCTTCCTGATCCCATCCTAAATGTTACTGACGATATTCCTCCTATCCAACCTTCTGCCATGGTTGCTTCCTGCTGCCAGCTGACCACCAGCGTACCAGCAGAGGATCAGAAGATGCCCACAGTGCAGGAGTAGTCCAGAGGAGGGGGGGGTTTGACAGAAAATGTCTGCCTCGCTCGCCCCGTCCCTCCTCCCTCAGCCAGCCCCTCTCCAAGGTGCCAGTGATGGCGTGAGAGTGCAGTGCGGTGTGCTGTGATGGATTGGAGTGCCTTTTTATCTTTTTGCTCTTGTGTGATATGAACTGAAGAGGTTTTGCTGATTGCGGTGTGACTCTTTCCCTATTATGGCATGGTTTGGGCTTTGCAGTTGTTACTGGTGTGTGTGGGTGGCTGGGTGGAAGAGAGAGAGGAGGGGGGGGGGTTGAGAGGGAGTGTGTTTGTGTGAAAGCGTGATGACATCCCTATCCATGCATGCTTCCATCTTTTGCTGTGTTGACTTCCCGGCTGGCTCTCATTACTGATCCTCTTCTTCTGCCGGATTGAATCATAGAAGAAGAAAAAGCTAACACTGAAATTTAAATCCAGACCATGAAGGGAAGATTTCTGTCAGTACTGAGATGCAGCTCAGTAGCGTACGTCAAAGTGGCTTTTGTTGTGACTTTGTTTTCTTTGTCTCGTGGTCTGGGTCCCAAATGTCAACGATAAGTGCTTCAATGAAAAAAAAGTTGGTTACATCACCCTGTTAAATGAAAGAGGGGTTCTTCTCTCCGCCCACAACCCTCCCTCCTTGTAGACGACAAACCCAGGAGGGACACTTCATGATCTGACTAAAATAGACTCTCCTCTTCCCTTCTCCTTAGCTCATAAAGTGGCAAAGAAAGACAGCGCAGTCCCCGGACCCCACTGCTGTAATGGGCTTTATGTGAAATCTGGCCTGACACCCAACTCTGAACTCCAAACCTTCCCCTCCCCCGGCTAGCATCATCACCTAGCAGATTTTAAGTGAGAACTAGGAGACTTCTGCCTTCACAAACTTCCCTTTTTTGTGTGTGTGTGTGTGTTGAGCGAATGAAGAGCAGCAGCTGTTAAAACACTCTGTCGATGCCTGAGCTTGAAAACCTGCCAGTAACGGCTGTCTCTGTCATTCACCCCCGCCATCCCCCTCCCGTCTACCTCAGGAGGCTTTACCTAACAGGTTTTGTAGGTTTTACTAACTGACACAGACTGAGCGTTGAGTCACCTTCGCCTGCTAACCTCCTCCTCTCCTTCATGTAGCCTTTAATAACAGTGGATCTCTATGTGAGGATCTCCTAGTTTCAGAACACCACCAGAGAGTTTATATTCCCAGCAAGCTCGCCTTCTGGGAGCAATGTAAACAATAGAAGCAAGACTCTGAGATGTCTCTGCTTCACCGTCTAATAACCCCCCCTCTCTCTTTGTGTCTGTCTACAGGTTGGCCCAGCAGTACGTCTACCCACAGGCCTACATGCAGCCCAGCCTGGTGCTGCCCTCTCAGGTTTCCCCCTCCGTCGCCAGCAGCCCCTACATGGACTACAGCGCCGCCTACTCCCAGTACGCCCAGGCGGCCTTTGAGCAGCAGTACCCGTACGCCGCCTCTCCGGCCAGCTTCCTGGGGTACAGCTACGCCACCAGCCCCACAGCCAGCGCCGGACCAGCCCCTGCCGCCACGGCACCGGCCTCCATCCACGCCTCCCTCCCCTCTGCTGCCGGCCCGGGACAGGCCTTCCTGCACTACGCCCAGCAGCAGCACATCCAGCCGGACCGCATGCAGTGAGCCTGTGAAGGAAGCACCGAAGAAGAAGAAGAAGAAGATGAAGACAGTGGAGGTGGAGGAGGAGGGAGTAGTGGACGCGGACCTTTTTATAAAGAGATGATGGCGAAACCTTTAAGGGTGACCCAGCTATCATCAGCAGGGGCTTTCAGGAAGAGGAAAAAAAAGGGTGGGACTATTGCACTATACGATCAGGAATGAACCCTTTGCTCGTTGGCTAAAGGGTAAAAGGGTTGGGAGGCTGTCAAGGTTCACGTTTGGGAAACTAGACAGCTTAAAGTATGTGGTCGCTTCCAAGGGCTTCCAGAAGCTGACACTTCATGTTTTTATTATCATTATTATTACTATTATTTTTATCGTCCTTTATTATTGTATTAATGTCAATGTTTGTTTGTATGCCATTATTATCAATGTTGTTCTGGCTCAATCAGTGGAAGTCCTGTGTGTCCGTGGTACATACTGATGGTGGGAGAGCTGTCACACCTCTTTCCTCCCGACCCCCAGTGTCAGGGGCCGGATATTAAGGGCACTGCTGCTTTTGGACACTCGGGGAAAGTCAGAGATGGGTGAAGGCAAACATGGGGGCGAGAAGGGTATACAGCCAGCCCTAAGCCTCCCTGTGGTCCCATCCTAGTGCCCTTCACAGGGTAGAACTGCCCTGTGAACAAAAACCTCCAGATCTACGACACAAAAGGACGATGAGATTTCACCTCAAGGACAAATCGGAAAGAACGTTTCAGTATAAATGACAGTGGGAGCTCCATTGTTTTTTTTATGTCAGGACTACACTTTTTTGTATTCTTAATTAAAGAGGCCTTAATAATACAGAAACTCCTTTTTGAATCTCTTGATTTTTCAAGCGCTCCCCTCCCCACTACAGAAACTAAGTGCAGAGAGTTTGTAACTGGCCAAGCTTGGGTCTTGATAATTTCAAATGGATGTAGATAATCACATGCAGTACGTGGGCGACGGGGAGCAGGAGCGCTGTGTATCGTTGTTGAAAGGTAGCTGACACTGAGCTCAAACACCAGTGTGTTTATTTTTCTCACTGAGATTGTTGCTCTCAAGAGGACATTCATGTACAGCAATTTAAAATGTTTTCAGTCATCACGTACATTTACAATATTTATATGTAGGTATTTATATGAGGTACTAAGTTAAGATCGCTTCTTTGTTTTGTTACTATGACTCTTGTTGTGGCACTGATGTCATTTAACCTGCAGATACACAGGTGTCGTATTTTGATTTATGTCCTGTTACGATGTCCGAGGAGTTGTGTGCACGGCAACTACAATTTATGCTCTTTTGTAGATCCTTAACCGGTTGCATAAGAAATTCTTTACATTTTTTTTTCAATAAAGATGTCTTTTACAGTCCCTTCAAAGAAGCCATACCAAAAAAAAAATTGAAATAAAGACTTTGTACATAAAGATGACTCTTGACTTCTTCTTTGATTGTTGAAATGTATCCGCAAAATACAACTTTAATCATACATGTTATGTGTTATTGAAGCATCACTGTACTCTGATAAAATGGCTAAATTGCAAGTCCTGCTGTGGTGATACTGTGAAACCCTGTGGGGTGACAGGGTTCACTTATGTGTGTGTGTGCTTGTTATCAAGGCTGTGTGTGCTTTTAGAGATCCTGTACATGAGGGGAACAGAGGGGAGGGGGGTAGGAGGCTCAGACTTATCAAGCCACAACACCACCACCTGCCAGGGGTGCTGGGTGTTTTCTCGGCCAACACATTTGCCTTCCTTTTACCTCACTCACAGTTTTGTTTAGTTTGACAAAGTGGTTTTCAAGTCTTGGTTTCTCTGCCGTTTCCCAACAGTGTCTCTACATGTTTATGCTTACATCAGCTATTTAGGAAGATGTGTCACTTCAAAACCTCACTTTGGTTTGAAGGACAAAACACAGGCATGGTTGTAGGAAACAAAAACACATCCATTATCTTGTCTTTACAATACCCACCCAGTAATGATTCACAATACAGCCTTTAATTAAGGATATGCTTTTTTTCTGGTGCAATGTTTTGATATATCCACTCAGTCCTCATTTACTCATGACATGTTCCAAATACCTGTAATTATGTGGACACCCATGTCAGTGAGTTTCAGTTCACATGATTTGTATTCTAATAGTTGTGTTTGGTTTCCCAAGTTAGTTTAAAGGAGAGTCCTGCTGTTAAGAAATGTACTTCCATTATGGAGAAAGAAAGAGGCAGATAAAAGTAAGACTAAGAGTCTACAGTCATATTGGCAGCTCATTGAGCTAAATGCTTAAATCAACATGATAACATTGCTTAAATGTCAAACAACTGCTACCTGCTTAGCATTATTCTCATGTTTAGAAAATACAACTTTTACCATGTTCATCATCTTAATGTAGCTTGTTCGCATGCTAGAATAAGCTAAATAGCACTAAACCCATATTGCTAATAATAATGCAAATTATATTTTTTACTTCCGCTAAGCATGATGTGTTTTCACCTCATTGCCTGTTTGTAAGCAAGATAACATAAGTGGCTACTACTCAAATCATGGGTCGGATCACACATTATTTGTAACTTTCATTAGCATTAGCTTAGAGAATGTAGCCTTGGAGAACTAAGCTAACCCCTTGTAGTTTTTCATGTACTTATTCAATATTATCGACTAATGGCTTTCTGATAGTCACAGGATCACAGCGAAAAGTCTCATTAATTTAGAAGAAAATATGAAAGTGCAAACCAAATTCCAAGACCTTACAACAGTTATGACTTCTGTTCTGGATCAAGTTGGTGGATTGACTTGCCAAAGTAGACCTGCACCGTTAGCATGGCTAGCTAAAATGGTAAAAAATGAAAAAAAGCAGCAGAACCTGAATGTCCTGACCTGTTTTACAGTCTGACAAGTATGTCACAATAACATAATGTGGGAAGGATAGTAAAAAGATTCCCATGTTTAAAACTTGAGACAGTTCAAAGCATAGGCAGCAAACAAGAAATGTAATTATGATAAAATGAGCATGGAATTATTCTTTGCTGTCGATCAAAAATACACTTCTTCACTTTTTCTTAGAAATATGAAGTCTCCAAGGCATCAGGGTTTGTTTTTAAGAAAGCCCCTCCAGACCCACAGACATGATAATTATTCTCACAGGTTAAGTAAACTTGCTATGTTGCCCTTAAACAGATTCTGCTTTTCTTTTTTCAGGGTTGACAGCGGAGTGTTGTTTTGTTCAGTAGCTGTGTGTAGAAGCAAGACAGCAAGTGTAGCCTATGTAAAAGAAAAGGCTTGATAGAAACCACACCAGTGTGTCGGGAAATGTTGCACTTTTTAAAGCTGAATCATGTCACAGATTTCTAAACACTTGTCGTAACAGAATGAATTTCCTCACAGTTGTTATGTTAACTGGTTGTTACTGCAGTGAGGCGGCTCTGGTCTCCTTCTCTTCTGACTTTTTGTCATTGTTTATCTTTCACTATCTCACCTCGCTGTTCTCTATTTTTTTACTCAACGTTTTTGCTTGTCACTTGTGTTTTTTTCTTCCCCTAACATGTGCTGTTGTCTTCTCCACTTCAGCACTTGTGGTTCTGTTTCCCCTAACTGTTTTCTGTCACTCCGTCTCACGTTCCTCTTGTGAATCCCACCAGAGAAGAGCAGAAACAGAGCCGGGGCTTCAGCTCGATGAACGAGGTCATACAGGCCCCGCAGACCTTGTCATGCTGAGTCACCATAAGGCCTCTCTCTCCGTCTCACACTCTGTCTCTCTTTCACATGTGCATGTAAAGTAGGTTCAGTCAAATCTCACTCAGCACACGCTTCTCACTCTGTCGTGCAACTCTGGCGTAAAGGGATTCCACATAACTGTTATAAAAACAGTCCCCGTCTTATCGGACCACAGCTCAACTTTAATCACATCCAGGCAAAGACAACTCTTGTTTTGATGGGTTGAATACCATGTAAACAAACTTTTAATTGGCCTGAGTTGGCATCAAGTTAAATATAGATCTTTGTAAAATTTGTGATCAGAAAAATATTCCCCAAACATTTTGGTATTGCAAAAAGTTAACAAACTTTGGGACATCTAATTGAGTACAGTGGAAGTTTTTAGATTTTGAAATGTATTACATTGCTGTTACAATAACATGTGTCTGTTTTTTAAAAGCAATAAACAAAATCAAATATTTTAGACTTTGTTGAGAAAAATACACTCAGCAAAAAAATATGTTATGGACCTCAATTCAGTGTGAAGCACTTTTAACAACCTGATTCCCATACAAACAAGCAGAGTATTACCACTTAATTTTTGAGCCACATACATTTGAAAGGATATTTGATAGTTGTGAGTACTCAGGGAGCCGCTCTTGTTTAATCTCCCTTGGAGGTTAATGCCTTGTAGAGAATGTTTCAATGGGCTATGATGAACATGCATTAACATAATTTCACTTAAATGCTCCTTTATTAGATGGACCCTAAAACCCCACCCAGGCCTTTCACACCTGACTTGACTCGTCTCTTGTCCTGCTGTGTGTGTGTGTGTGTGTGTGTGTGTGTGTGCGTGCGTGCGTGCGTGCGTGTGTGTGTGTGTGTGGCGGGACAGAGTCCAGTGCCACATGAGTCTGTTTGCTGGGCGTCAGATAGGCCTCAGATACAGGCTATATTTACTCAGGCTCTTAGAGAAAACGACCAGGCCCCCAACACCCATCACACGTTTTTTACTCGTGGCCTTTTCCCCACTCCAATAACCCATTCACATAAAGTGGACTAGTGGAGAGAGTCAAGTTGTCCTCATAATACCTGGTGGACAACACTGCTGCAGTTGGTTTATTTTTTGTGTTAACATTGTTACAAATGCTATAAAACTGGAGAAAATATTTTATGATTAAGAGAAGCAGTTTAACTGACGAAGCTGGCAATAACATCCAACAAGCTGAGCAACCTCACGCTTCAACTGAGAACCAACAAATTCAGCTGGTTCAGCCAGTAAAACTGGGCACACAGCAAAGTCTTAAACCAATAAACTCTTGATGAAAGAAAAACAGGGAAGAGTTTAGAAAAGAGTGATGTCCCAGCACATCAAAGTGAAACTATGCAACCTTTGCTGAAGAGCCGGTTATGTGGACATCAATGAAAAAAAATCCAGTGTTAGAAGATCAAGCATTTCAGTTATCTGAAGTTTGTTGAATATAAACTTTACAGACATTAGTTACTGTAAGCTACTCGTCATCATACCCCATCAACTAAGAAAACCCCCCGAGAATACTGATTTGAGTAACAGTACCTTTTTATGTAATTAATTCAGCCTTTCATTTTAGGAGTATTCCTCAAAATAATGTCCCATTTACTTGAAGAAGATTGCAATAGCTATCTATGTGACAAATTCAGGAGAATAAGAACGCAATCATGTTAATGCAAAAATGATTCACTATTTTATAGTTTGACACAAGTCATTAATTTAACCCTAAACATTTTAAGTGGCAAGGTGTTAGGTGACTAGGGTAGTCTACAACCACGGCTGGATAGTCTGGGCATGATAAAGATTGAGATATTTCAGACTCGGTTAGAGTTTTTAGGACTCTGGCATAACAAGAGCTTATCCAAAATCAGGCCTGTTTCCTATCAGCTGCTGAGATGGCCCAAAATGCCACCCTCACACCTCCTGATCCTTCTGGCTCTTCTGCTGGGGCTGGTGATAATGAGGTAAACCAGAAGAGATAGCCTTATAGGACTGGTGCTTGTGGTATCATTACTAAAGTTAAATGGAGTGAAGAGAACCCAATTAGTTGGCGAGACAGAACAAGACAAACATCTGGAACGGGTTGCACTCTGAGATTTGTGAAATGATAAAAGGAACATTATGCAGGAATTGGTATTTTTACGATTAAATGCCACTGAAGTGCAATTCACTTAATACACCACTGTTGTGAAATTACTTTTGTTACAATAACTTAACTTGTGTTCAATAACTAGGCCGTCGACAACTTTGCCAAACACAAACATCAAACACGTTCATCAACACAAGACAAAGCAAGCCAGCCAGCCAATATAACTAACTAGTTCAACAGCGAGAAGGCCAGCTTGTCTGTCTTAGAGTCTTTTTTGCAAACCTTTTTTGTTCTCAGTTTCGTCCGTCTATATATTTTTTGGTCTCTTCACCTCTGCCACGAAGTCCGCAGAGGCTGCTGAACTTGGTTCTGCTTGCCAAGGCTCTGGTTCTGGCACAAAACTGGCGCTGCTCATAGGGAGCCAACATTACCCTCGCCCCAGTCCTGAAAACTTCCTCCCCCACAATGTTCCTAAGATTTTGTGCTTCCCCCTGGTGTTTTGAGATGCAAGTCCTGGCAGCACGGCTAAATGAACTAAACACTATCTAGCTTACAGCAGCAACATTTAGCAGTTTGTTTCACCGAAAATGAAGGACACTGGTGTTTGATTTAGTGCTGTAAAGCCTTACAGACCTCTCACTGTAGATGGAGTCCAGCTCACCAAACTTGTGCAAGAACAGGCGTTAAAGGTTGCCAGGGAGGCGTGTGGCGCAGTAGACTAGTGCGTTGGTGTTCGGATCAGGGGAGCCCAGGTTCAAACCCCACTGTACTCAGCATGTCGTTGTGTCCCTGGGCCAGACACTTCACCCCAGATTGCTCCTGTGGAGATTGCCCACAGTATTGACTATGTAAGTCGCTTTGGATAAAAGTGTCTAACAAGTAACATGTAATGCAGAGGCATCACTTTCTCTTTTACAAGTCAGTGTAGCATCAAATTATTTTTAGATGTTATTCAAAGGTCAAATTGCATATTGTTCTACAAAGTGTATCTCAATTAACTGGGGATATGTGGGCTATAGTTTATGCATAAGTCTGTGTATGTATGGGCCTGTTTGTGAGCACATGAATGTGTAGCTTTTTGTCTTCAATTGGCGACTTCCCTCAGATCATCCAAGTCTCCAGCTCTGTAATGTGATCTGAGTTTGTCTCACTCAAGCAGAGCCTGGGGATTCATCAGAGCCGCGCTGTAATCACAAGCCCTGACGCCCCCTCACACTACCCTCACCAACAACACCCCTCATCCAACCCCCAACGGAAAGCAAAGCTGAGGCGCCACAGACGCTTTCAGCCTCACATCCTCTCCTCATGTTCATTTCACACCACGCCATGTCTGGCAGTGTCGGCATGCACAGATAGAAATGATTTCTCCCGCATCAAACGTGGAGCAGGGCTTTGCAGAGAGAATCTGTTTGTATGCACATGAGCAGCTAATGAGCATGGAACACACTGAACAGGGTGAGGTAAAGCAGGAAGGGTCTGGTAGCATTTTAAGGTCCTGAAATGGTCAGACATATCAGCATATGATAGCAAATGTTCATTAGTTTGAATAAGCCATGCAACCACACCAATAAACCAAGGTAAACATACCACTTAATATTTCTACATACGTTAGGAAGCTAATTCATTGTGCTAACCTTATGCTAATGTTAGCTACTGAAGTTAATTTTAGCTGAAATGATTGAATAAAGCTTTTTGCATATTGTTCCGCTGAAGTCTTCGTGCTAACGTTAGTTTGCTAACAGCATAGCTTAGCTAGCTAACGTAAGCAATCATTATATTGTTTTTTCTTGGTGTAATTGTGGAGTTAGTGTTTAATACAAATTATCATGTGTGACCCTGCTTTGCCTCACCCCGTTAGTGTTTTCATACAAAGTATGAAACCTAACTCCACCAATTACACCACATACTGCTAAGCTATTTTATTTATTAACAACATACATTTATAAACATAATCAAAATAATCCACGGCATTTCGTGTTATAGTCACAAAATTAAATATAGAGATAGGTTCACCAACACACTCTCACGGCATTTTTTCGTGTCATAGTCACAATAGTAATTTACGTGCCATTCGTGTTCACCAACACCAATTTCGCCATTTTTTTTCGTGTCACACGACGATAGTAGTATGTTCGTGCCTGGCACCAAATAATAACAAATTATGACAAAAAGATACTCAGATTTCAGTATTCTGAGGCTCTAGAACCCATTTCTTTCCTCGCTGACGGCAAACAAAAACAAATGTCAAGCAGTTATACATTTAAAAATAAAAGGGATAGGCGCTTAGGCTTAGGGTAATCATATTGAGTAAGAAATTTTTTTATGAACCCCACAGCTTCTGCGTCTTTTTTCTTTATAGTCCACAGACCCGACCGACAAAAAAAGACTTGCTGCGGGCACGAAACACTACTACCAATAGAAATAATTGGGGCCTCTTTTAAAATCGTTCTGTGTTGACACGAAAAAATGCGAAATTCCTGTTGGATGAACACGATCCAATACTTAAATTAATTTCGTGACTATAACATGAAAATGCTGTGAAGACCTGGTTTGAACATAATAGCCTTGAGCGCGCCGCCGTACAAAATGTGGAGTAATTTGATTAGCGCTAAACCCAAGTGTGATGCTAGGTCAAAGGCTTACAGATATTGCTGTGATGTGATTGATCTTAAAGACATATTCATAACAGTCTCATAGTATGATTTTTAACCAGAGGGCAGGTTTTGTTGTTCCTCGGTGACACATTCCTTATCTCTGGCCAACATTGCTTGTTCAAACCAGCGCCTCGACCTCAACCTCAGACCCAGCCAGTCAGTGTTGGGCGTGTGAAAAAGAGGAGAAAAAAGGAAAGAGAGAGGGGTTAGGATAACTACATGACAGGTGCAGTCAAAGACAGAGAAAAGCAGAGGCNAAACAGCCCTGGTTGCGTGTGGCAGCAGTGTGATGGTTGCTGCTGTGTGTGTGACCGCCCCTCTGGCCCAGTCCCCATCATCTGCTGACCACAGCAATAAACACACAGCAGCAACCATCACACTGCTGCCACACGCAACCAGGGCTGTTTAAAATCCTACTTCAGATCATGTCCTCACACCATATGTTGTCAAGGGGTTTGGGAGGGGGGTAGAAGAGAGGCTGAAAGAAAAGCCACTTGTGTGCTCTGGATCTTAGGGAGGCCTGCGTCTGTCAGCCGGCAAATAGAGGCGGGTGGACAGGTGCTGTGTGCGCCTCTCTGGGGTGGTGGTGGTCGTCAGAGGAGATTAAGGGGGTGTAACACGAGCCAGCACCTGTCAGGCACATGCCTCAGAGCAGCACTGTGCTCCACATTTCAAACCCTCCGGGTTTCAGTGGCATCCATGCTCACTATGGCAGCAGGAGCGCAGGACATTTGAGGGGCTTTCCTCCTACAGACATGATGGGGCATGTTCCTAGTGGAGTCCAAGATTAATCATTCAGACCCAGTGAGAGCTTACAGAAATGACTGATTAACACATCATGAACCAACAAAGCCACAAAATATTTCTTTTTTTTGTCACTGGGGATTGTCCTGGGATTTTTCCGTAGCTCTTAAACACTCAAAATGCCCTGAGTCACATACTGGATAGAGCTACGATTCATTTATTACTGAACGTTTAATTCATGAAATGTCAAGAAAACAGATCCCACAGCCTCCCAGTGTGCACGCCTGAATCCAGCTCGTATTACTCAAACTGGATTTTTTTGTAGTTTCAAGCTTGAAACATGCTTAAACAGCTGATGATCAGAACTGTTGCCCATTCATTATGACCTTATGCTTATCTGTAGATCATGTCGTAAAACAGAGGAAAATGGCTATCGTGAAAAAACGAATTTACTAAGGAGTTTGGAAGGAGGTGGGCTGTGGAACTGAAAAAGGAAAGAAAACACCCAGAGCACATCTTGTTGGTGAATAAATGTTTACAAATATAACAGCAATGCGAATGCGTGATAAATTACTAAAATAAGCTATTCAACATTGTTTTTCTTTTTAATCTAATGATGAATACCACTCATATCTTTAGTTAGAAATGTTAGTTTGTATTTCTATAGGCACCATGTATCCACCATGTATTGTACCATGTATCAAAACCTATACACAAAACCACTTTTCTAGAGCCAACTCGACTATTTTTATCTCCCAGACAGATCTGAGGTTTGGTGTGTAAAACATGAGTGGTGGTGAGGGATGATATCCGAGCTGCGGGGGGTGCGGAGGCTGCTCATTAGCTGTTTAACAGACCATGGATCCTAGACGCTCTCCAGGCTGTTTCTACAAAACATCCACCTGTAGCAGGCCTTCTCAGTGACGGGGCCCGGTACAACACGAGGGGCTCCTGACACAAGAGAGTCACACGTTCACCTCTGGAATGCTTTTCTATTACCACAGACGTGCGAAACATCACCCGGCCCTACAAAACTCAAATAAGCTAATGGCCTACTTCTGGAGTTGCATCTGGACACAGAAACTGACATGTACTTTCCAGAGGCCCTGTTTGTCAAAGTAAATGGAGGCCCAGTGGCATCCCACACTGTTAAATACAACATCGCCCACTCCCGCTCACTTACCCATACTGCCTCTGGATGAGTGCTGGGTGAATGGGCTGCACTCCGATGGATATGCCTGCAAGATAGGAGGCTGGCTGTCAGACACACACATTTGCATTTACAGAGGAGGACCAGAGAACAATACACAGAGGGCACAGCGAGACAGAGGCAGCGTCTGTTTCTAACCTACCACTGATGGAACAACAGTTACAAATGCGCAATAAGCAACAGTAAAGCATGTGTGCATTGGAGAAACCGAGTTATTTAGTATGTAAATATGAAATATGCTGCATATGGATGGTATGGATTGTGGTATTGGACCAAGACTGCCTGGACACGGGTAGTTTTTAAACCAGGTTTGTTTGTTCATATCTTAGGTCATGTGTTTTATGCTGTTATCACCATTGGTTGAGAAAGGAAGTATCATTATTTGAAACTTGGTTCGTATAGATTTTCAAGAGTACAATTCAGCACATTATCAAAGCTTTATCATCATTGCAATTTCACAAAATAAAGATTGAAGAATAACTCTTAACCCATAGCAATAAATGCATTGTATTCAAATTTGACTCAACTGTACGTTTTGATCATTATATGTTTAGCTCCTTTGTACAGTGAGATGCAAGAACACAAACATTTAAAATCAAGCAATTATGTGTCAAGGCTTTTTACAAACCTTGTTCCACAAACTACTTGTTGATTTAGGAGACCTCCAATATTTCTCTCACCTGTCTGAATGCTGCGGGGTTTGGCCCCCAGGTAGGCCAGGTTCACGTTGGCCTTCCTGCCATCGATTATGGGGTTGGGATCCTTGCAGGCTCTCTCTGCTGATCCTCGGTCTGTCATCGTCACCTGGTAACAAAGTCAGAATTGTCAACAAGGTCTCACAGGAACAAAAATCATTATCTGGAGTCAGGGTCAGACGGTGACCCCGGGTGGTTATACATTAACTGTTCAAGCTAAACAAAAACACTTGAACTTAACAGGACTTGGTCTGTTTGCCTTATCATAAAAATCCCCCCCTACAGGTTTCCCACTGTTGAGATTTCCGTTTGTCTGAAGAAAACTACAAACAAAAGAACAATGATAAGCTTTGAAAACTGCCCACAGCAGCAGTGCCACTCAGCCACTCGGCTGAAATATGGTTCTGGGAAGAGTTACAAGGAGCTTATCCAATTAGGGACAAAATATTAAGAAGATCGGTCTAAGTCCCCCCCCACCCCTCGTCCTCCTCTCTGCCTCCTGGCATTAGACGGGTCCTTCTGTTTTGATTGCCACATTTTGCCAACTCGGAGGCTTCAGTCACCTCTCCATGTGGACAGAGCAGTGTATATAGGCCACCTCTTGCATTGTTTAAGAGGACGTTTAAAAAAAAAAGAAGCCTCTTCATAGTGTAGGGACCCGGAACAAAGCCCACTCCAGGGCCTGTGTTGTGAACACACAGGAAGGAACAAGGCTGTGTTTACACTGTGACGAGGGGGGGTTCTCCTAATCCACCTCTAAAGTGTGTTTAGAAAAAAGGTGCGCTCAGCTTTTGGGTGCTTCCCTACCTCCCCTCCTGCTGCCAGCTATCTCTTTGACTAGAGCAATCAGAAGAAGCATGTCTCCTCTTGGCACACAAAAACTAGAAAGTACTGATCTACCTCGGTTATGCTCAACTTGTCCCAGGCAGCACCCACATGGCCCCGAGCCTGTCTAACCTGAATCACCGGCCTCCACACATAGCCGTTAAGACACAAGACAGCTTTTCCCCAGGGAGCTGATGTGTAAACACACCCAGAGCAATTGTCTTACGATTCCCCCTTCAGAAGTAAACATGCACACATAACAGTTTTCCATTCCTTCTTTGGCCCGACAGTGCATTAGTGCTGCTGATGCTTCTTTTCAAAGTTCTGGTAAATATTTGCATTTTTTTTCATGCTGCTCCTGTTCTTTATGACAGTGAGAGAATAACCATCTTTAACAGGATAACGTCATCTGTTATTGTAACTTTAGATTGATTAATGTTGTGGTAAACAGCACTTTTCCCACCAGAAGTCCAGAAAGCCAGTCAGACTAGGTGAACCTCAGTTTATATATTAGCTTCCAAGTGTTTTATATGGCTTGGACTGTCCAAACAAGACTAAAAAAATGATATGATCAAAGGGCAAATTTAACACAAATTTGAGAGGACAATTTGTTAATGTAGGAATTTTCTATCTCAGCAGCCAAGATGTGATGCAAATCATGTGCTACGGCTGACTGCTCTTGTCCCTGACAAAGGAAGGCAGAGTGTGCACGGTCATCCTCCACACTACACACACACACACTAGTTTGAATGAGAATAACACACACACACACACACACACACACACACACACACACACACACACACACACACACACACACACACACACACACACACACACACACACACACACACAGTGAGTGAGTATGCATTGGGGGGGATAGACATGAGGCATATGTTGAAATATAATCTTCTTAGTTACCCATCAACTTGTGTGAACCCTCATCCTCATTAAGCTAAAATAACAGTCAGCCAGGCGAAATAGCAGAGATGCTTTGCAATTATTTCAGTGAGCCTCAGTGGAGGATTACCTTTGACATGTATCTGAATGACTACACACAGTAGATAAAACGAGAATGGATGTTTTTTGATAGGAATACTCATATTAAGAAAGGGAGAGACACAAATGTAATGTATACTCTAAAAACAAGCATGTTTAAATGACAATTTATTAAAGATCTATGGCAGAATTAAAAGAAGAGTAGCTTTTAATGTTGTCTGATGGTATTTAAAGTTGTGAACGAGTGCTACATGTTGGTGCACGGCGGGTCAAAGTACTCACAAAGCCGTATCCTCTGGATTTTCCGGTCTGTCGGTCCGTTATCACCACAGCCTCGTCAATGTCCCCAAAGGCCTCGAAGTATTTTCTCAGTGAGGCATCATTCGTGTGGTATGGCAGCCCGCCGACAAAGATTTTGGTAAAAGTAGTGTCTTTCTGTATCGCTGAGGGATGCATGACTTCCAGGGCTCCGTTCATGTACTGATGCAGAAGCATTGGTCAGCCGGGGGAGAGGACCGGAGGCACGCAGGAAATAAACTAAGCGATGCAACAATGTCCCAGCATCTGTAAAACAAAAACGGCTCTATATTATGGCGCAGTTTTCCAATCGGTTGTGACCTTTGCTCAAAGTTGTAGCTACCTGATGACAACTGCGCCTGAGCTCCTCTTGGTTACGTCGAAACAAATTGCTTCTTCTTTGACACTAAAGAAAAAAGTGCCGGCAGGTTTTATATGCCACAACTGAAACCACGCCCACTTCCAACTCTTAACCAATCATCATCACCGCCGAATGCCAACTTTAGCAGCCGCTCCTCCCATTGGTCCGCCTTCCCCGGCTCCGTGCTGCACCTGCTTTTGTCCTTTACGACACAAAGAAAAGCCCGTACTGTACGGCAGAAAGCGCGGCTCCACCACATGGTCATTGTGTCTACTGTAATAAGGAAGTAATTGTCTCCACTTATTACAGATAACGTTTTTTTAAACTTGTACAAGCAGTAGTTAATTTCTGCTTGTTATGCTTTTGTTGTTACTTCACTTTTATCATCGTGACATGGCACATATCAGGAAGCAACAGTGCCGTGCAGCTGAAACAAAAGGACAGTCGAAACCACACCACTTCAGCTAAAACACAATAAGCTATTAATCCTAACGTTCTAATATATTAAGCTGGCGTTTTACTCTTTACTTTTAAAATACCCTATTACTTAATACACATAAGGAGAAATCAAACCCCAGACAGTGTTAACTTCTAAATATTCTTTATGTAGGCTTTTTTTTAAGAAAACCTTACTTATGTGACCTCACAATTTATTCTATGAGAGTTTTGTTTGTGTTATAGAACAACATACCATTGGGATTCATTTTAAATCTACTGTGGTTATATAAAGTTAGTGATTATACCCAACTTCCCTTTGAAGAAGCAATATCAAAGTCTAACCTGGTACCTATATTTTTAAGGCTTTTTGTGAAATAAACTGGTGAAGAGTACAATATGGCACATTTAATTAGGCCTGCCACAACAGGCCATCTTTTATCAGCCCATCATAAAAGCAAATGATTGGCATATTTTGCAAAAACAAAAAAAAAGGTCAAGGGTGCACTTGAGCTTATACTTCCACTGTCAGTAATACTTTCTACGCGTCTCTACATGTTACTCACAAACACTGATAACCTCTGCGCAGGTCAGAGGGAGAAAAGCAACAGGTCAATCCAACAGTTAGCTTACCTAAATGTACAAATAAATATTACTTTCCTGTGATTTTTCGAGAGAGTAATTCAGGTTAATTCATGATCATTCAAGTTAGAGGAATGAATTAGATGAAATAAACTCAGTACAGCATGTTGAAACAGTACAGGAGACAGGGGTCTAGAGGAGTGCTACTAGTTTGACCCCATGAAAGCTTAAAGGAGCCGGTGAACTGTGGAAGCGGCAAATCTTCCCGCCCTCGAAGCCCTCAAGTTCCACTGCTAAGTACTAACGGTCAGGCTAACAGTGAGGTGATACTCTAATGACCGCAATAAAAAGGCATTTAATTCACACCTTCTCCTCTATGAACTAGTTCACTTTTCACACATGGCCTTTGTGCCTGCCTGTGCTGCCTCATTCATATCCTCTTGATAAATCCCCTTTTTTCCAGCTGTGTATCTCTGTCAAAGAGGTTTAACCTGGATGAAGAAGCCCCGTGTCCTGCTTTGATCTAATTTGTCCTGCTTAGCTCTCTGACCTCAGCTACTCTTCCACAGGTAACTGCTGCAGTTGAGACAATGAAAGGAGAAAAAGCTCCACCTGCTGGTTGATTTAGGTTAAAACAAGCAGACAGGAGAAGTATGTGATACAGATGTTGTCCAACGTTTATCATTTTTAAGTTGTGATAATTCCAGTGTTAGAGAACCGCGTGATGAACAGATTTACAGCTGAAACATGAGATAGTGGTTCATGGTTTCGCATGCACAATACAGGTCTGTGAAACCCCCAAAAACATTTATACAGGAATTTAACCTCCTCCCTTCAGGTTGGAATAAACATGTTCAAAATGTATAGTACGCACTCATTTATTTTACATCCCAGTTACCTTCACGGAGCTTAACGACGAAGTAACAGCAAATCAGAAGAGAATGAAAAGTCTTTGGAAAATTGTAAAAAAATTAGGAGCTAGACAAAAAAAAAGAAATCGGAACATCAACATAAGTGACAAATAAAGCCCCCCCTTTCTTTGATGACCTCTACGACCAGTTGTCACGCAGAGATCATCAACGCCAAGTTGGGTAGGCCCCTCTGATTGGTCCATGCCCAGTACGCAGCACCACGCCATTGGTTCAGGTGAAAGGAGGGAGTCTGCCTCGAGCGTTTACACACACTAAAGCAGCAGGTCTTCCGCATTTCCCCACAAGAGATGCGACTTGGCACGACGAATCTAGAGACAGGAGGCAGCAGTCAGTCACAACGAACATTGTGGGAAAAATGTTGTTTATTTCTGAAAGGGTGTTCACTGTGTCCCTTTTGGCACGGAACCAACATTACAATATCACTATTCAGCAGACACAAACCACAGAGGCTTGCATAGGTTAAATATCTCAAATATTTTCATTGTATCCATATTTTAATAAATAACAGTCATTTAATACCTTGTATTGCCAATAAATACAATGGTTAAAAGCTACATTCTTTTAAAAAACCAGCAGGCTTCATCTCAAAATTCCTGACTGTGAAAATGCAAATGCAGCTGGTTTACACAATTAAAGCAACAACTGCACCTGCTTTAAAAATGTCTTCACTCAGGTCAGAGCATTACCATACAATTAGGCTACCTGTCAGATCATGTGTATTGCAACTGCCTACATTCATGTCTGCCAGGGATCATAGGGTGCCTGTAAAGGCCTAAATGGGTGTCACATGGGTATTCAGGAAGTGGGGCAGCCCTGTGCAATAAGTGCAGCCTCCAGGTTCATAGAACATATTCAGCTCTCACCATTTCTTGTTCCGAGGCTTCAGCTCCTCGGCAGCGTTCCTCAAGAAGATGTAGTTCTTTTTCTGGGGGTTGTAGTACTCATGTCCCTTAGGAATAAAGAAGAAAAACAGAGCAAAATAGAACACATTAGAAAAGGCTAGAGTTGCATGCTTTAACTATTGTAGTGAGAGCACCGTCTGATAACAGCTTTTGTCAACATGTTACTCCTCTTACCTTCGACCAGTCGTAACTGGAGGCGTATGCAAAGATGTTGCCATTGCTGTTGAAGGCGCAGGCAGTGATGGGCTGGTCCAGCTGCTCCGAGGTCTTCAGCTTGGTGCGGGCGTCTTTGTCCCAGAAGCTGAAGCGCCCGTCTGAGCCCACAGTCGCCAGAGTGCCGTGGACAGGATGGAAGGAGATGGCATTGACCTGATGGGAGAACAAGGGATGAGGGTGAGGGATGAGGACATCTTTTAACTAAGTTAGTAAGTGTATCTGAGTGAGTATGACCAACTAAACAAAATCAAATTTTAATCCATATTTTCATTAATCTTAGATATTGAATATTGTGCTAAATTAAACACTTTTAAAATACATTACGTTTTACTGCAAAAATCCCCTTACATAGGAATATCACAAGTTTCATTAATTTCATGAATTTTAGTTGTGTTTAATGTAGATCTAACACATCCATAACTACTGTTATTAAATCCACCTACTGTAGACTTTTCAACAGTTTGAGTCCTAAAACTGGTATAATCGTTCAATGTTGCGACACAAATATGTACGTAAGATATAATTTAACAGCACAAAGCATACAATTCGTTGAAAATGTCAAGACTTTTAAAAATTCTGAACAACTTACAGCATAGATGTCCTGTGGAGTGGTGGTGTTGGTTCCATTCGACCTGTGGCACTTAAAGGTGAAGTTGTCTTTGGCTCTAAAAGGAATCAGGAAACACACTTATGTCATTTTTTTATTTTTATTCAGGGCTTTGAGAGAAAGAGCAGTGTCTCTTAAATGATGTAGAAACAAAATTATAGTGATTGCACTTCACTTGAATAAATTAAACACCTTTAGCAAGACTTCCAAAATGCATTCACTTGGTAGAAATGGATTGTTTTAGACACTTACGGGTTTGGAGGGTTGATGTAGTGGATGGCCACTCGGCCCTCAATGCTACCCAGTGCAAAGCCTGTGGGCTTGTTCTGCTTGTCCTTGAATATGGCAACACAGCGGTGCTACAGAGCCAGGGCAGAAGAGCATGTTAGTCACGCATGAGGAGTACAATGTCAACCAGAAATTGAATCCAGCTGTACATTAGTGTAGGATTGGGAAAAGACAAAGAGAAGAGATATTTTTTAATTGATGAGGAGAATTCACCTGATGTTTGAGAGGTGAGTCTATTCTGCGAAACTCAGAGGGTTGGTTCTCCAGTTGGTAAACTATCAGGCCTCTATCAGCTGTGGCTACCACCGCCATGGGGTACACCTGCATATAACAGGCAGGGAGGTTAAACATAACACAAAAAGTTATATATTCAATTATCTTCTTACCACGTATGACAATTTATGTTGTACTTGTAATCCCACTTACAACATCTGCACAGTAGCTTCTCTCCGGCATCTGCAGAGACATCATGGGATTGGGAGAGCGGGTGTCCCAGAACTAAAAGAGAAAAACATAAAAGTCATGTTTCTTATTACAAATGTAGATACATCAAGGAGAAAAGTTCTAATAGTGGCAATTGTTGATCAAAAGTAATGGTCCGGAGGTGAATGATAATCTAGTTTACTAGAAATCTGTTTTGGAAACACAATGGTTGGTAATTTTTTCATTGGCTTGTTGTCATTTGTTCAGATGTTCTTAGCACCCTAAATGCAAAAACAGAATGAAAACAATGTGTTGAAATGTGCTGTTGTACCTTCAGTGTTTTGTCCCAACTGCCAGTCATGATGCAGCTGTAGTTCGGGGCTTTTATCCAGTGGATTGATTTGATCGGGCCCTCATGCTGAGAGGAGAAATGGTGAAGGGTGTAAGATGATTGTGTTTCATTGTTATGACGACACAATTGATCTGTAAACTCTTATCCTACCTGTGCAATCTGCATTGCTTGATTGCTGTTAAGATCCCACATCTTGGCTGTTTTGTCACAGGAAGCCGTGAAGACTTTACTCCCGTCCTGGATAATTACAATAGCACATCATCAATTATTCCACGGTCCAGCGGACAGCATCTACTGCAGAGCTTGAGTTACTTTGTTGATGAGACTTACGTCGCTCCAGCATGCATCCAGAACTGGACCTGTGTGCATCTGTTGGGCTTTTGGGACAGTCTGTCCATTGTCCTGAACCTCCCAGCACCGGACCTAAGGTTACAATATAAAACATTGTTAAACTGTGTTGACATGTGAGCATAATATACACTGTTGTGCATTTCAGAAGTAGCGTGACAGGATCATTCTGAACATTAACTGTACTCAAACTTCATATTCCGATGATTATCCAAAATCTTCAAACAAATCAATCAACAACTGTACGCCATAATCTTAAATTGTACACAAATACTATGATGAACAAAAGCTCACATCGTTGGCCCAGGATCCTCCAATAAGGAAGTTCCCTGGCATGGTGGGAGGACTGAAAGCCAGACAGCTGATGCTGTCATCTGGAGGTGAAGTCACTTCAACATCCTACAAGACAAAAAGAAGAAAAACATTTACATGCAAAGGCACAGTTTTCAGTCAGTCATCACAACGATTTATAATATTTAATGCTTTTCTCCTGTACTCTTGCTTGTTTACCTTCATGGGATTGTGGCTGTCTGTTGTTGCATTTCCAAAGACACCTGTCCCTCCTGCTCCAAACCCGGAGGTTGTCCCAAATAAACTCATAGTACTTTAACGCCAATGTACGCCTGAGAGAGAAGCAAGACGTGACGTAATATGTTCATTAGTATCAGAAAAAGACACATCGTGATAACATGTAACGAAAGTTAAGTAATGCAAAGTGGATGTAGGGTTCAATCCGAAAAGGGCGTGGAAGCAAGAAACTACTGTATGGTTTTTAAACGTTAAATAATGTTCCAATACAGGAAAATCTAACATAACCAATACCGTTATCATAGCACTCAGTTAGCAAGCTTATCAACAACGATTTAGGTAAGGTATCAGGAAAAACTGGGTACCGCAAACCAAAACATTGGCCACTTGAAAACACGATGCTAATGTTAAAGCTAACTAACGTTTATCATTAACTGCTGCTAGCATCTAAATGCTAGCGTTAGCTTCTATGTTAATATGACAACATGTGGGCAGTTTAGCCATGTCTGCTGTTTAAAATACCATTAAGTGAGATGTGTGCTTTAAGTAGGGGAGGTCAACAAATAACAGCGTTTGAAAACGTTAGCTAAGGTTAGCTAATTTGATTTAGACACCGTCAACTATGGCAGCAAGCTAATTTCGGCTGCAAAATCAAACACCGTATTTAAACATTATAACATGTGGAGAAACGTATTATAATTATAATAACATACATACCCGAGATATGTTAATGATGGCGATGAGCCTAAACGCTGAAAATGCCAATATAATTTGGCGCATCGAAAATGTGGCGCTAGTTCCTCAGTATGTCGCAGTTTGGTGACGTATTTTGGCCCTGGTAAAGGCAGAGGCATGCAATGACCAGAGTGAACGCTGGAAGGCAGTGTCTGACTGTAATCAGAAGGACTCTCACAGTGTGGTGTCGACTGCTCAGGTGAGTGTCTGCTCCTCGCTAGTGTACTCAGTACAGGGCAGGGGCATGGTGGACAAAGTGTAGACTCGTTAACCATGGTTCCTCACCGTCTGTAGTTCATTCAGTATTTATCCCAACGTTCCCTCACCTGTCTGCCAAAATAATGCACAATACCAGTGAAGTGCACACCACACTTTCATCATGCAATGTGGGAAATACCTTTTGGAGATGTACCCTACTCATATATCCTTTACTTGGAATACAGCAGAAGTAACACAGCAAACTACAAAATACCTTCGGTTCACAATTTAATTAATGTAAAATATGTTATCACAAATATGTAAGCCTGTCGAAATGTGCCTTAGCAAAAGTAATATGGTAGGCCTTCCCATCTAGAATGGCTATTTCAAGGGTGTTAGCATTTAGCTAGGCTAATGGATTTATACATTCACAAGCAGTATTTTAATGTTGCAGTTCATTAATAATAAGCCTTTAAATTACTTTACTGTATTGGCTTTGAGATTGGACTTTATAAAGTGATTCTATGTTTTAAATAAGTAACTAAGAATAACTTTTAACTTTTAGATTAATCTGGTGGATCAAAATGTAGCCTAAAATATTTCCAACTGAACTACAGCTATAATGTAGCATCAGTTGGAAAAACTCAAGTAAAGTAGCCTACATGACCTCATCATTTGGTCTGCTTTAGTAAATTCCCTTTTGCAGTCCTACTTTCCAACACTGATAACAAACGCAGGATGTCCTTGTTATTTATTTAATTTTAGATTTTGCATGCACACATAATCTGAATGACATTGACAAAATAATAATATAAGTGCATCCTGCCTCACTTTCCCTGTGGGATTTATTGTTGTGCAGGATCAATACAAACCCACAGTTTCACAGTATTCTAATACATGTTGACAAAAAAGAGCAGTTTTCAGTACTTCTTATTCATCCGCTGTGGGCAGCCAAACAGTGTGACACATATTATGGTTGAAGCTCCAATGGGAGATGTAATGATTGATTCTTATTGGACTCAGTCAGTAAACATTAGGCAAATTAGTAGAATATGGTGCAGGAATTAAATTATGAGATTCAGTACATTCCTAAGGTTGAGAGTCGTGCAGTGTAGCTGCTGTGAGTCTGCGACAGTGTAAAAGCTCCTTCAGATCTACTGCGTGGGAAGATGATGTGGCTAGACTGTAAAGTAAACTATAGGACCTGTTGAAATGCATTAACGCTGCAGAAGAGTCCTTGAGCATAACATAGTTTTATTTCTTAGGTAGTAGGTATGTTGTCAAATGTTTGTAGTGAAGGGGGACTTCAGGAGGTTGCAGGGATGAGCTTAAGTGACCTTTTCCAGAGAAAACACAACATCTCAAGTGACTATATGCATGGTGCAAATGGAAATCTGGTTGTGTGATTTTAGTTCATTTATGGGTTATTCCATGGTTTACCAAAAACATGCACATTTGTAAAAGGTCATTTCAGTTTGTGGTTATGACACATTAACTTCCTCGGGGTGTATGTGCAGATCGAGTCATCTTTTTCCAACAGAGTAAAACCCACGTATTAACTTGACTTCCGCATAGGATTGTTGCTTTGTCATTCATTGTTTACCCCCACCCCCATTAACGCTCTATTAAAGTCACAGTGGAGTTCTTTACACATTGTTGTAGTAATTCATGGGGGCTATTGGCATGTCCCCTCATGTGCCTGTACTGCTGATCACTCAAACCCCTCCACAGTTAGGGTGGGCCCGACTTTATTGTTTGAGTTCAAAGGTGTCTGCGTAGAAAAAGGGATTAGGGGATTTCCCCTCTTTACCTTTAGACTCATCATTAGGCATTTTTTTACTTGGAATGTGCACAGTATTGAGTCACAGTGCAATAAATTAAAACCTTCAAGATTTAAAAGTAAAACAGAATTTGGACACAAATGCAAAGGTGTTTTGATGTTGATTTCCAGAACAGAGCTGCTGCTTATAAAAAAAAGAATAGACTAGAAGAGAAAAAAGGCCACTTTCATCATTGGCCAACAGTCATGTCCCAACAAAGGATGCAGTGATGGGACACTTGGGTTTTGAAAGGTCCACACCCCTACCTTATTACCAAGACAGAGAAGTGCACTTCATGATAGGACAAGGACCATACACACACACACACACACACACACACACACACACACACACACACACACACACACACACACACACACACACACACGCACACGCACACGCACGCGCGCACACACACACACACACGCCAGTGGTTTATCCCATTTGAAACCCCTCCTGCCCCTCCCCTGACACAGCGCCTCAATGAAAATCCATTCCCAAGTTGCCATCAAGAGGAGTGCACTACCATATCGCACCAAGACCAGAAGGTGATGAAGCAATGATACTCTGAGTTGATAAAGGTATTGTTTTTTTATTCCTATTATTAGCAGAGAAACTACTTATGCTTGCGCATCTCCAGTATTTTATTTCGACCGTAGTCGTGCGTAAAATCGGTGTAAAATGGAGACGCGCGTCCTGGCAACGGTAACAACCCTCCTGTCGTGGAGTTACTGCGTGTTGGCCACGCAGGTCGCCTTCTCCAACTTCTCCGTGGACAACGAGGTGCACTCCAGTTTCATCCAGCGGCGGCTGCGGAGCCAGGAGCGCAGGGAGATGCAGCGGGAGATCCTCTCCATCCTGGGGCTGCCTCACCGGCCGCGGCCGCACGTCAACACCAAACACACCGCCGCCCCGATGTTCATGCTGGACCTGTACAACACCATCTCCACAGATGCACAGCCGCCAGGATACTCTTACTACAAGCCCGCTTTACCCACCCAGGGCTCCTCCATGATGACCCCGCAGGACAGCCGCTTCCTGGATGACGCAGACATGGTGATGAGTTTTGTCAATCTGGGTAAGTTATATATACCTTTATAACACATTATTACTATTTGAACTTACTATTTGTTTTAGTATATATGGATCTTGCAAGAGGGACTTAACTTTGATGATAATTAATGAAAATAAACAATTATGAATTATTTGTAAAATATCCAAATCAAGATAAGATGAGATGCAGTACACTTGTTTATCCCAAATGGACATTTAACTTGAGCAAAAACGAGGCACACAGCTCCAAAAAACGTAGCCATCAAGACAGTACAGGAGTACACTGAGACACAAGACTACTTACAATATTGATGAAATAAGGAAAGAATACATGGCATCCAACCAAAAGAAAGGGATTTCGTTTTCTCTGTTTTTCTCGTTGTATAAACTTAAGATTCAAGGATTAAAATGCTTTCCATTACCAAGTCTTACAAAGCCACTACTACGCAGTGCATTAGTTAAGAGTGTGTGTGTTAGCCAGTGTCCCTGACATTGTGGCTTTTAGGTCACTTTCCTCACTTGAAATCAGGCATTATGCATCCCGAGCTGTAAATGTTATGACAACATGCCTCTCCGATTTCCCCAGAATCCCTTCAAAGCTCTGGGGGAGAGGCTTTAGCATGGCTTTGTTTCGCATGACTAGGAATTGAACGGGCATTTCTAAACCCCTAGGGAAAGAGACACAAGTTGACTATAAGATCAAGATACAAACTGCATCCAAACACATGTTGCTGGGGTAACCTCTGATAGTGCAGGGGCATGTGTGTGTGCAGTGCATTCCTGCATTTATGCGTCTGTTTGTGTGTTGGTTTTGGGCGGCACAAATCACATGGGTCACAGGTGAGAGCAGGGGCTCACTCAGACATTATTGAATTTATAAAAGGCAAATCCTGCCTTTGTTTCCCTTGGAGATCCTAGGCAGCTCTGATATCACTATAGTGAAGCAGTAGACGGCACGGTGCCTGTGGCTCTTATCCGGATGTGGTTTCATCCAAAATCAACCCGTGTCTTCTTTATGTCCTTCAGGAGGAGGGTTAGAGGTCAACCTGACGAGATGAAGTTAGTTCATCTGAGATCGTTTCGAGAAACCTGTAACCTTCCCTTTTGTCTGGGTGTTATTGAGATTGAACTAAAGGGTTAGGGTTATTTTCGAACAGCCCGTCAATGTGTTGTTAATACAAAACATTTAGAGTGCAATAAATCGACATTACATTTTATGTGCTCGGTCATGAGGGTCTTAAGCTAATGAGATCTGGAAACATTGTTTCTGAAAACTCAAAGCAGATTTATGCGGTTCCACATCTGAGGAGTTTGATCCTGTAAAGTTAGGAGGAAAGAAAGGACACAATGTATTATTTTTTCTCTCGGTCCACCCCGGCCTCCTGTGCTGATGATTGGCAGAGTATTTAGCTGGGGCTTGCACAATGTGCTGCAGTCACTCTTACTTGGTGGTCCCTGGATGATCGCTTCAAGAGCGAAGTGGATTATGGTATTTCCCTTCCAAAGACCACAGCTTCCAGTGTGAGGGGAGCTGCCGTAGAGCCCCGTCTCCCACTGACCCAGGTATATGCTGCAGGTGGACAGAGCATAGAATACCCTTTTTAGATGATTATTTTAAAGATTAATCAGTTTCATTAATAAGGGCATAACATGTCATTTCAAAACAAAACCCCTTAAATAATTAGAGTTTTTTTAGTTGTATTCTTACTTTTATTCCAAAGGTTTACGTTGAATTTCAAACCTAGAGATTTCCAACATTTAACTAAAGGTAACAACTGTTACTTACCCCTGTTCCATATGCGTTGTGGTGGCCACCAAAAACTGTCATAAATAGAGATTTTATCGAGTTTCGAGCCACATTTTGAAGTTACACTTTTAAGAATTTGGTTGTTTTTAACATCAGAAAAACATGTTAATCAACGTTAGCGCCCCCATCTGCCCAGCATCTTTGGAGACACACACATGTTTACATGAAACTACTATTCACAGTTCTTTAATCCAGTTTTGATCACTGGCTTTGTTTGTTTTGGAGACCTTTGCCGACAAATTGGCCCGTGGTAAAACCCCCTGAACGTCTGAATATTTAGAAAAACAAGCTGAGAAAACGTTAAAAGCATCTCAACACGTAGCCCCTTCTGGACGTCCTTTGTCCACCGAAAATTGTCTGTGGTGTTAAAACACAAATTTGCTTTATTTAGTCTTATCACCGGGTCCATTTGTTTTGGAGAGAAGGATACCCCTGCGAATAAATTAGCGTCTGGCCCAAAATTCTAGATGATGAACATGTGAGAAGTCTACTCCAAAGGTGTTGAAGCCAACCACTCTTATGATCCCACGCTAGTTCGCAACGTCACCAAACTCTGCCTTTTAACATTGTTTTTAGAGAGACTCCTTGCGGCACTCAAGTGATATTATCCCCATTTAAGTGAGATTATTTATGTTAAAGCAAAAGGATTAGGAAAAGTTAGTGTGAACCATTTCACTCCTCTTTTGTCCTTTTGTTGGATAGGATTTAAAAGCTTGTGTAGTTGACACAGACTTTTTATCACATCATAGCACACAAGCATATACAAGTACACGGCTGCACATGTTTACTTCAGTTGGATTGCCAAACCACAGGTCGTTCTTCAGCATCACCAGCAGGAAGCTTTCTCCTCATTGTCATGCAACATTACACAGGCAGCTGCTTTTGCTTTGCACATGTGTAGTTCCTCTTTGTTTATAAAGGAATACAGTGAATGTAATGCAGGGGCTGACACAATCTTATCAGCTGGAGCTGCTCTGTCTTGTTTACTGCTGTTGAAGTTTTCGCTGCCATGGAGACATGTAGACATGTGTTCACTATGGGTTTATTTTCTGCTTTGGCCAAAACACACCTGCAGAGCATGGGAAAAGCTTTAATGACAAGACACGTCAATGGCTTTCATTAAAATAGAAAGAGTGCAAAACGCTCTCCTAACATGACCGCGTAGGTGGAGAACAGAAGGGGCATTGTGTTTTTGAGAACGGGAAGAAATGTGTTTGTCCTGCTTAAGCTGATCTGTAGGAAGCATAAGGAGATCACACCAAGAATTTCTTTTGGCCCACCAGAAAATCGCATTAACTTTCTCATTATTTAAAAATGTGTGCAAAATAAGCACGTTTAACTCCCCTTTGTAGCAGAAACGTATGAATAGGTGCAACAGCCCTTCTTTTGGGGGTAATAATCAAGCAATACTGTCAAACTAATCAACTCATGCAGAGATTCAAAGATTTGAAAGAGAGAAAAAGTTCATTTCAGTTAAAGATTAGTAAATCATTTTGATCAGTAGTAAATAAAGGTCTGAGCTTGACTGAAAATAATCTGAATCAGTCTCTGTTATTCACAAATGCCATCGTTTTTCTTATTTGTTCAGCTTCAAACCACCCATGCTGACTTGTAAAAAACAAACAAAACTCTGCTATAAAATAGCAAGAGGTTAATGATAGCTTCGTGGCTGTGTGGCCCTGCAGTGTCAGGAGTAATGTGAAGTGTTGAAATGCCTCCCTGAGGGAAGTTTGCATATCTGAGGTCTGATCTCTGCAGCTAATGGTCCCTAACGTAAACACACCGAGTCCTTACAAGCAATTATTGCGTTCATAAAAACAGCCCTCGCTCCCTTCCAGCATTTAATTGCGGTCAAACGAATGACTAGCAGGGTTCAGAATGCACTGCTCTTAACGACCAAATGTGTGTTTTTGTGTCATTAGAAATGTTTTTAGAAGACTTTGAGTCAGTGTGTATTTGCAGGAAAACGTTCTTGGTTCTAGTGTTGAGGTGCTGTGTGTCTTTGCACTGAAACAATAGTGGGCCATCATCGGTGGGAAGGCAGCCTGATGTCAGGATGATGTCATGCTGTACGGCAGTGGGCAGGATGTGTTTAAGGTGACTAATCGCCGCTCCGCACACCTTCACCAGAGACCTCCACGGCTCTTTCCAAGGACATACACACATGCTGTAAAAACACGACACTCGAAAGCTTCAGGAAGCTTTCGGGGTCTTTCTGACCACCGTTACTTTGGAAAGTCTGAGAGTTGGAGAGCTTCAGCTGGCTCAGGGTGGGCTAGGAACCCCACGGTGCCATCAGCTGCTGCTGCTTTACTTTAACAATCACATTGAAACACTGGTGGTGGCAGTACTCGGATATTCAACTAAATCAAAAGTAGCGTACTACAGTCTAGAAACACTTAATTACAAGTAAAGAAAATCATGCAATTTACTCAAAAGTACAACATTTGTATCTTTCAAATATACTTAAAGTTGCAAAAGTAAAACAACTTATGTTTCATGAGGTCCCATTTCTGAATAATATATAATTCAATGTTGGACTATTATTATTGACACATTTCTTTATCTCTTTAACCTTGCATCTAGTAAGGGATTAGCTCGTTTTAAATTATTTATATATATGTTATGTATTACTTAACAAACTAAAAATAATAATAACATAATCAGTTGATATGATGTTGTTTTGTCAATCTGAATTTTCAGAATTACTAAAGCTGCCAGATCAATGTAGAGTAAAACAAAATTAGAGATGAATTATTGCAGAACAGATATACCAGTGAAATGTTCTCATAACTATATTTAAGGACATTCCTTTTGTAAATGTTCCGAGTTTCTCTCCACCTCTGATCCCAGTGATCCATGGCACACTGATCAGGGATGTGTGGGTGGTACAGCCCCTGCTAGTTAAGTCTCTCTATACTTTATGTGAGTGTGTTTGTAGAAGCACACTGGCAGCTGTGGTTTTCCGGGCAGTGCCTTAACGGGCCTTTTCTTGTGGTCAGCACATGTGTGCAATTTAAACCGGGAGCCCAACTGAGCCATGCGTGTGTTTTTACTCCCCCCACATTGGCACGTATGGCACATTTAAGTGATGTTTAGATCAATCACTTTACTCATGGAAGCGGGATTTTTCCTATTTTCTGACGCAGCACTTCCGAGATGTGGGCAGAGTGACACACATCAGAGCAACGTTTGATTTGGCGACAGTTTTGACAGATATGCAACCACCGACTGGTTTTACCATCTGATTGTACTCAAAGTGGTTTGCAACTTCCTTAGATGTACAAACCTTCCCACTGAGGGTCAGAAGCACTTTTTCATTGTAGGGCTGCACAATTAATCAAACTTGTATCTGATTTATTTGGTAATGACAAAATATGTAAAAATGTAATTCTGATTGCAAAGAAATCCCAGCCTACAAAGGTTCTCCTACACACAAAATCCTTTTTGGGTACAGATCCTCTTTAAAATCACACCATGATCATTTGAATATATATATGTAGTGCTAATGTGAATAATCTTTCAGAAATAAATTGCAATATCAGTCAAAAATAATAGGAGGTATTTGTTCTAAAGTGTTTTGATCAATCAAGTGATGATTTTCCACCTCTTTTACTCCCTTTCTCCTTACAGTCGATCAGGAGAAGGATCTTCTGTTCCAGCAGCACAGAAGAGAATTCAGATTTGATCTTTCCCGTATTCCTGAAGGAGAGGCCGTCACAGCAGCAGAGTTCAGGATATATAAAAATGTTGTCCAGGAACGCTACGAGAACGAGACCTTCATGGTCAGTGTGTACCAGGTCCTGGAGAAACCTCCAAACAGGTATGGGTGTTTTTCTACAGCTACTGCACATATTTCAGATAAGATAAACCTTTTATTCATCCCTGAGGCGAGACTGTGGTTTTCTTTACGGCCCTTGATTGGATTAACCCTTTGTTCGACGTATCAGTTGGATCTCCTCAGTGGAGTTTAGCATTCAGGGATCGGTTTACTCAAATTACAAATACAAAGGTATTTTACGACTACATCAATTTTGTCGAGAAATTTCAATGTAACCACACAGAAAGTGCTCCCCCCCCCCTCATGGAGATCCAAAATGTAATTTAGGATGCCGCTAGCATAGCAAAAAATTTGGCTTTTCACAAACCTGTCTCTGTTTCTTCAGTGGAATTTCGTTCCTAACACATGCTGCTGGTGGATATTTCCTTTTCGAGGTAAATATATTTACCCCAGTTTTAAACAAGCAGTACACTCACCAAGTAGACAGCTGTGTCCCGTGTAAAACCAAAAGTTAATGTTGACTTATTTTACCAACGCTATGTCACACAACTTAAGTGTGTGACTAAAGTTAAATAGAAAACCAATTCGTTTTGTTGCTGAAAGCTATACTTCAACAACTAGTTTTGTTTTAACTCACAGCCTTAATCCAAAAATAGCGCCTTTTTAATACGGAAGAAAATACATTTCCATTGAAACATAATTCACAAAGCAGTCTTTTGTATGAGGACATACTTTTTAGGAGAAATGGCTTGATTAAATAAGTATTTAGTTTGATCACATGGATGAACTGACCCTTTTTGGACCAATTTTTTTATTATAAAACTACTTTTTAATAGCAGTTGGTTTGACTGCTACACTAGATTATCCTCTTGTGTTAGTGACAAAGAAAGAGTAGTTTAGCTGATCATCATGCTACTGTGTGCTCACTGTGGACGCTGGTCGTCAAGCTGCTGCTAGACGTGCAAACAGATCTGTCTTTGGCCGTGTCTGTCTACATTTCCTCACAGCTTATTTCTGCTGATGTTAGTGTCAGCGCCGAGGCTGTTTACACAGACATTAGTGTCAATTACAGAAACACGTCGGCCCTTCCAGAGAAGGTTTACTCTCACAGAGTCAGAGCAGGACAGTCCCCAGGAGACCTGCATTTACAACACGCAGCTCCCACCACAAATAACACTCTCAACCCTCCAGACATCAATTGACTCTCTTTCTCTTACACAGGTGGTCAGTCCTCCATCTCCATTAACAGATTGTAGAATAATTAGACCGCACACATCCCCTGCTTGCTTACAAATCAAAGTTATTCCGCTCATGTTATAAACTCTCAGCAGAGGGGATCATGAGCAGGCGGTAGATTTAAAAGTCCTTCTATGGTGACAGCGGGGCCGATGATGGTGTTAAGGGCAACACCATTGTCATTCACAGACACACAGACGAGCAGGCGGCAGACGTGGGCCTGAGGGTCTGACACTCGGTCTGTAAACAAAGCTATTGTCTCTGGAGTCTGCTCTAAAGACGGCAGGTATTACTATTGTAGGATTTTTTTGTCTGGGCTGTAAAGAAGATGCTCTCTTCAGCCATCACTGTTCATGAGGGTGGATTCATGGTTCAGGGCGATACTTCAGTCAAGATATCTTTCTTTAACTTCTTATTTCGATACAAATATCTCTATTCTTTATTGCACGTTCTTGCTTTACCTTTTATGTTTTTATATATATTTTCATTTGAAAACAGAGCAGCTCTCCCAAAGCCCACATTTCCCCTGGGATAAATTAAATATTATTTTCTGATATCGTTTTGGGGCCAATTTTGAAATAATCCTATTGTTCAAATTGATTGTTTGCAATGCTTCTGGCTATCAATAGTGATTGCCTTTTGATATGGTTTATTATTCATTATCAATTTATAATCAACTAGTTTTTATTATCCTGATTTTCTCATTTATTTATCTTTAATGTACAGTATTTACATTGCAACTCGTTGATTTCCTCAATATGCATAAAAGACATAAGGAAAAAAAAACACTTAGATGCCTGTTATTTAAACTTACGTATGTTATTTTAAACGGCACTGATGCTTCGTTTATAGTTAACAGGGGACACAGTGGGTTCAGGAGGTCAACAGAAACATATGTTTAATATTATTTTTCTTTGCCGTTGCTAACTAAAATATACATCCCATATTCATCCTCTATGTAACCTTTTATTCTCTTATTATTTTCCTTCAGTCAGCAAATGAAACACTTTTCTCAGTTGGACTGAGGTTTGGTGTCTGACTTGGCTTATCAACAACATTCCTCTCTTTGGCCATAAAAACCTCTTGGCTCCCATAAGTGTTTTCTTTTTTCTGCTGCATTGCCGTAAAATTGGGTTCATGTATATTAAAACACAATTCCAACAGTTTTCCCAGCGTATGGTTACACACCAAGCCAATCATTATCTCTTTAACCTCAGAGGCATTGTTTAATTTAAAGCAAACTAAGTGTCTTTTTTTACAAACAAACATTAAAAAAATGTCCTCATAATTTGCTGTATTTAATATTAATAATTCTGCTTGCATTTTTTGGCCTATTAAATACATTAATATTCATTTAAAATGCATGATAGAAAACCATTTTCCCAAGCATGCCATGCCACGTTCATTCAATGATTTGAAATTCATTTGCACAAATGTACAAGACAAGAGATCATTAACAAATCATAGTTTGATATATTGATTGATGCATTTTTTTATTTCGAACAAGTAAAATAAATAATTACAAAACAAAAAAAAATGTTGCAGTGCATAGTCATGTAAGAGAAATCAAAACAAAAATAATGACATTTACAACAACAACAACAACAACAACAGCATTAGCAACATAAACAGTCCCACATCTAGTGTTCGAAAAGGAATGAG